CCCATAAGTTGGCAACTCGATTGAACAAAGGCGAGAAGGCCAGGAAAAAATGAACGGACTGAGCAAGGCCTGAGCAGCTATGTATGCATAATCCTGGCAGACCTTCGCCCACGATTGCATTCAAATGGGTGATTCCAAGAAATATATTGAACTCTGTTCAAAAATATTCCAAAATGCGGAGGAATTATTCGAAACTATAAAAGGGTCTATAGGTTTGGTCAAATCTCCAAAATGAGATTTGCATCAGGACGTTTGAAGCCGAGGTCAAAAATTCATAACTTTGCCTAAGAACGTTCTAGAACACGGGAAAAAGTGGATAGAGGTAATAGAAGAAATGTGGTCAAATCCCGAAGAGGGCGCTTCACGATAAAAGTGGTTAGTCAGTTCTTCCCCCAGGAATACACCCGCCCCCAAGGGAAATAGAGAGGAGCCTCTTGTGTCCAAAAACTCGACGATTAGGGCATAGTGGAAGCCCTGTCTCCGGATCGCGCGGCCTTCCCGCCCCTCAACCGAAGTTACGTCTGACGAGTGTCGAGGCAATACAAATCGCATGTTTTCGCTCTAGGATCCTCGCACAATCAGTTGATCGCCGAGTGATGAGGCGATTTTTTCCTCATATTCTTTTGTTCTCTGTTATTCTTTTTGTTGTTGCAATCCCTAATTTAATTTCCTACACCAAGAGGCTGAGAAAGGTGGACCACTTTTGCTGTTATTAGGGTTTTTTTTTTGTTAAACTATGCTTATGAGTGAATGAATTTTGCTCACCGTAGTCAGCGATTCACACCAGGACCCACACGTACGCACTGACCCACGCTGCATAGCTCGTCCAAACGACCCCCTCTTCTCCATTTTTCTGGTCTCACCCTCGTCCAGCCCCCTTTTTTAATGATTTTCCGAAGCCTTTTTTCACTTTGGAAACACCGATTCACGCAGTTTCTTTGCCTTCATCGCACTATTTTCCACCTTATCTTCCATTTTTCAATCAAGACCAATCAAAAAAGAAAGGAAGTCAACAAAAAATATGGTGTCCTATCGATTGGCCGGGAGACGGGCAGATTACTGTGATTGCAGTTCGGAGCCGCGAGACAATTGAGAAGGATTTGCCGCATGCCGCAAAGTGAACGTCGGAAATCGGGGAGAAGTTCGCTCTATGTCAGAGATGTCTGTTGATGTTGTAGATGTTGAGATGTTGTATGAGCAGCTTGTTTCATTCAAGCAGGAGCCATTCACAAGTTTTACTCTCAAATCTTGGCTTTACTTTTGTTTCATTCTATCAGCTACTTCTTTTTAAGGTTGACGGATTCCGTCATACACTTCACTGAAAGTTTTGGTGTTCGCCTTCCATTCGTCTCGTTACGAAGCAGCGTGAAAAGAGTATTGAACACAGCTAGCGATAATCATGACGATGGCGTTACTGAGAAAGATCGGGCTGATTCCGCTTCATATGGAAGTGAGTTGCAGTTGCATTTATATTGAATTCTAGGCAGTTGTAATAATGCTGTAGGATATCACAGGTCTAGAATCAGTTAAACTCGGTATCCAACATGTCGTCATCCTTCTCTAAATACGCTCTTGAAATTTCAAATTGCAAGAAGTGAAGAGATATTATCTTCACTCGCAATTGCAATTCCATTTTATGAAATAAGTGAATTTTACTGAGGGCTGATTGGTTACGATAAATAGTAACGCGTCAAACAAGCTTTTATGGTTCCAGTTTGGTAAGGCAATAAAGAGCAACGGCTTCCTTCACAGCTGTCTCTTTCTTTTGTTGTATGCTGTTGTGCCAGTTACGGCCGCCCTGCCTTATCTCTCGCTACATAGGTGGCCAGGTGGGCGGCGGTGGAGCCAACCCACCGGGGACCTCGTTAACCCGTACTCCAACTAATCAGCGGCCCTCTCCCATCCTTGCGACTCCGGTCTACCACGCTGTTTCCTATGAAATTTACTGCCTCCTAAGCAACAGTTAGGATGACATGTTCCGTTCCGCGTTCCCTCAACTCACGGTACCTGCAGTCCAGTCTAGTCAACTCCCACCAACGAGCCCCGCGCACAAGGCGATGTTACAAGATTTTGAAGACACACTACCGAGACATCTAACACACGAAATAATTCGATATCTCCGGTTCAACCGGGGACTTTGACCAAAATCATAGTAAACAAAACCGCCTAACCTTTACCGCCGAGTAGCAGCAGTCACAAATATCATTATGTATGTTTGCTCGAAGTTACTTATGAAGAGTCAGAACCATCCACCTTGATCCGGTGTATTTCTTTTAAGAATTGTACTAAAGGTACAGGATCCCCAACAAATGCCGAGGCTTGTGATTTCAGGCTCACTACGTGTACGAGAACGTGCCCCTCACGTACAATGGAGAGTTGGCCAGGTCATCAAGCACAAGGTTGTTTCTGATCAGATAATTTGTT